TTTTACCGTTTCCTTTGTATCTCAAGGAATACCCTCTAACGTTTTATGTAAACCACTCCTACTTCTTTATATATATATCCCTTTTTTGTATAAAGGTTTGGTCTGGACTAGTGCTCTTATATAGTATCCTTATAACAGCTTTTGACTCACGGGCAAGCGGTTTCTTCTCCTTATTCTTCAATAATCCTCCTGATCAACCCTGTATTATATCAATAAAGCGGTAAAATTTACTCTGCGTCCTCACAACGTATATTCGACGTATTCACAAGGTAAGCCTTTAATTAAAGTTCTGCTTGATCTTAACTCAAGGCTAAACCTTCCAAATCTAAACGACTCGATAAAGAAAAGGAATAATTTTTTCACGACATGCAGAACGAAAAAAACGATTAGTCAAATGTGGAAAAATCAAAATATATTTCGAAAAATTAAAGTATACTTTTTTCCGATCAATAATTTTCTTATATATACAGTAGCAGTACATTCCGGATTTTATTATGTTATAATCCTATTGTATCGGTTTCATCCTGTTGAAAATTTCATGCTCCAAATCTTTTATATTGATTTCCTTAATTTGATTTTTTATAAAGTTTACCTTCGAAGAGCTTGATTACGACAAAACTTAAAAGAAAAAAAGAAGCTAGTTTGAAAAGGTCTGCTGATTTGAATATAAATTTGTGGTTCCATAAAGAAGGAGAAGTAGATTAAACAGTTCCAAAATTGTCCATTCTCTCTTTTTTTTCTCTCTCTCTCTCATTAAATATGATTCCGATAATGCATTCCAGCTTAATTTCAGAATAAAATTAAATTTATTTAAATATTCCATAATTTCTACTAGCTAGAAGCCTTTAAATATGATCATTTTCTTGCTAAGACTTTTCAGGAAGATGATAGACAAAGTATTCAGTAATTCAAATTAATTACTTTAAAAGCAGCAATTTAAATGTAACTCATAGTTAGTTATTTACTCTTATATTGTCAGTAAATGACGCTGTTAAATAGCTATAATTAAATATAATTTTGAATGCTGAAAATGAGAAGTTACTTTCTGTTTAAAATAGAAAATCAATAATTTTTTGGAAAAAAGAAGAATGAAAGAAAGAAATGGAAACAAAAAATATTGCTTCAAATTTCTAATTCTTTTGAAAAATTCTAATTTTTTTGAAGAAAAAGAGGAAATAAAATTGCTTAAAATAAGAGGGAAAAGCTGCGCAGATATGGCTGACGAGTTCAAATCTTCAAAATTACTGCAAAAAAAATTAATAACCAACAGCTCAAAAAAAGGAAATCAAAAAAATTACTGTTTTTTGACCTTTGACCTCTTTTTTTCTCCTACAATTTCTTTACAAAACATTTTCCAACATTTTTCACGAAAAATTGAAATTATCATTTTTTCACTAATAGTTAACAGCTCAAAAAACACAACAGCTCATTTTTCTAGCAGCTTAATTTAATTCTCAAACTATCATTTTGGATAGGAAAAAAGGAAAAATGCGCCGAGTTCTGTTCTTTTGCGCCTTTAGCGGTAAAGTTGATTAGTATACAAGAAAATCTATACGAAACATTCTTCATCTTTCTTATAGTTATTAATTAAGTTCGGCAAAACAGGATAAGAGAAAGAGAGAGAGAGAGGGAGGGAGAAAATGAAAGAGGAATATGAAATATCTTAGGTAACTCTGTCCTTATTTAATGAATTTTAATTTGCCTTCAAAGTGGTAATTGAACATATTCTATACTCTAACCATATTTTTAAGTAATTTTTCGTTTGTTTAATTGACATATGCAAAATGATAAAGGTTTATGATCACGTAAATACGTATTCGTACATAACGTAACACTGTCATCAACATCAGCTGTTACTTGTTGACCGTAGAGGAAGATTTTTTGAGAAAAATTTGTAAATTTTATGCAATATTTTCTGAATAAATTAAATTTACACATTAAATTACTGGTAAAATTACGCAACATTTTTCGTGATTATGTGGGATGTTCCGTAATCTTAGATGATTATGCGGAATTTCCGGTGACCAATGCAGGAATCTCTTATTTCAACTTCCTGATCAGGACAAAAATTTTAGGTGACCCGGAAATTTGCAAAGTGAGCAATGAGCAAGTAGGAGAGCGTGAGAAATGGTTGTTGTTCCATTTGTTCTACGGTTCATTCGGTTGACGGTTGTGGTGCCGGAGGGTGGGTTTTAATTACAAGTTTTCTGGAAACTTCGGTGATGTACTGAATTGTATCCATTTTGCCGTTCAACTTTTCCCGTATTTGCTATGTATGTGAATAATCGGTGTAGTGATCTATTCATTTGTTGAATGTGGCCAATTGATGAAATAGTTTTATAGATTGGTTGATTGATTGATTGATGGATTGATTGATTGGTTGATTGACTGATTAGTTTTGGCTGATCAATATTTTATGATATCTTATCATTTCTCGTTTGCATTACTGGTAATTACGATGTAGTGAATGAATTATTTTCCATTTTTTAAATATGTCAAAACCTATGGAAGCTGGAGAAACTGCGAAAGATAATGAAAACGCCGAATTGTGTTCGACGGATCAACAGTTAACAGCGAATGGTGCAGCACTGATCGAGCAGATCAATAGACAGAAGAAAGAAATTGAAGATGAAGTAAGTTGAGCGCTTAGAGTGATTTCGAGGATATATTATTATTGTTAATTTAATGGTAATTAAGTGGCTATATATGTAGAAGTAATTTGAGGCAATTCTTTCCATTACAACATTTTTTTGCAAGTTTTGGACAAGAATAAAGTGCGTTTACGTTTGTAAGTCGGAAATTTTGTGGTATTACTTGTATATATATCCCTTCTTAAATAAAACCGTGTATTATAACTGCAATGAAGGTTCATTTATTATTCGCAATTTTTGCATGGTAATGTCTCCTTTAATCGCTGTTTGCTGGTTTTTTTCAAAACTTGTAATTTCGATGTATCTGAAAATGTATTGTTTTTGGATGATTATGCTAGTTATTAAAGCAGTAATTGATCTCTATTGGGCAAATAAAGCAAAACGATAATAGAGAAGAGCGATTTAGGTGAGGAAGGAGCAACCACTGATCGCTCAGAAGGAATCAATTAACGTTTTGCTAAATGAATATGATCGAGACAAAAGTGCTGAATATTATCAGAAATCAGAGGTAATCAGCATTAGTTTGGAAGGAATTAACAAAGGTATTTTACTAATTATTCATGTCATTCTGAATATATGGCGTTCTTTATGCCAAAAGGTAAGCTGCAAATGATAATTGCAGTGCACTTTGTAATATTTTCGCAGCGATTTAGCAAAGCGATGAAGTAATTTTTTCAGGAATTGGCGAAAGTATATAGTTCCTTGCGCCGCATTCGTGGTGATGGTTGCTGTTTCTATCGAGCTCTTCTTTGTGCTCAGCTAGAATGTATTTTAAGTGATCCGGATGAATTAATTAGGTCTTCTTTTTTTCTTTTAATTGTTAGAAATCAATTGAATTTCGATAGCTTCTAAGAAGTTTTCCGGATTCTTAATTGTAATAAAGGTTTGGTCATTGCAGATTTACAAAAGTATGTAAAGGATGGCGGCAGCGTTTAATGAAGCTTGGATTTCCAGAATTCACAACGAATGACTTTTGTGATTGGGTATCTTTCCTTTTTTTTTTACAGAACATAGAAACATAGACATCTGGATGGGTATCGGGGGCTGTAAAAGGTCAGTTAACTTAATTAATATCAGAAAAACGGATATTTTATTAATAGATGGAAGTGACAAAACCATTGGTTGCTTTTTAAAAAAGCAAGTTTTTTTTTTGCTTTTGTCTTTAAATCACTTCATGTTTACGCTTATTTAAATTTTTTTTATTAGACAGTATGTCAGGGATTTGTCAGATATATTTTTTAATATAATAGCTTATTCAGTTCGATGAATTGTTGGATGATATTGCAGCGGCAAAATACGATGAAAATTTGCTTGTAAAAGCTCTAAATGAAGAAGGCCGCTCAAATTACTACGTAACTTTCTTTAGGTTTCCATTTTTTTCGTTAACTTATGAAATATTTATAAGTTTATTAGAGATTGACCTTGTACTGAATGCTGGCCTCTGTAAGAGTCCTAGAACGTTCCTTGTGCAGCCTGTTTTCTCATGTTAATTTACGATGATTAGCATGTGAAAACTTGTTTAAACCAAATATTTGAGCAAAATTTTATCAGGTTCTACAAATAGAATGTTGGGATTTGTGGTGAGATTTCAAAAATCTTGAAATAGCTATGAAAAAACATTGCTTTCTTTTCTCTACTTCAGGTTAATCACATCTGGTTATTTGCGGGAAAATGCTGTTGATTTCGAAGGTTTCATTGATGGTGGCCGTACTATGGAGCAGTTTTGTCAATCCGAAATAGAACCAATGTTCAAAGACTGCGATCATTTAGCAATTATTGCTTTAACCAAAGCTATAGGTATTTACTTACTAGAATTATGTATGTATTTAAGGAATAAACCGTTCTCTTCGTCCACACTAAGCCACGGATGAATAAATCAAAGGAAGATTCGATGCTCTTTTTGTAGCGAAGGAAATATGTTTATCTTTGGCTAAAAAGTTTACTTTTTGTGATTACAAGCTTTGTAAATGGGATTTGCTGTTCTAACTGCTTAGACGCCAACATTATGAGTAGCCACTTTAACTTTATGCGAACACTATGTGAATGGATTACAGGAGTATCAATTCGTATCGAGTATATGGATCGAACGGCAGCGGTACATCATGGCTGGTTTTATGATTTTATTGTCGATAAGAAACCACGGCATTTTTTTCTATATCGTCCGGGTCATTATGACATTATTTATAAGAATTAATGACTTATTTTGTTCTGAGCAATTTTCTTCCGATGTCCGTTTGTTACATTTGCTTAAGATGCAAAAGTTTGTTTGAAATGTGTTATGAAATATAAAGGTTATAATAGCGTGGAGACGATAGCTTGACCAGTGACTGGTTAAAGCTAACAATTGGCAATGCGAAACTTAGAATCACTTAGAAACAAAAATCATTAAAGTGAAAGGTTGCCGATTAATCAGATCAAGTGAGTACTTTCCCAAAGTGCTCATTTTACCCTTCTGTGCACACGTATCCAACGGCGCGACACTAGAAAATGTAGTAAGCATAATTATATGTATATTTGTCCAAAGTTCGTTTAGGAATTGCGTAAAGCATATAAGAAACTTGGTTCGTGTGCAGTGTTCGTGAATTTAATAAAAAGCTTTTGTTCGATTACACAGAGTCATGTTATTTACATGTACAATGTTATTCAGGAAGGTATATGTTTTTTAACGTTTAACCACTCCTCCTTTTACGAGAATCTACAACATTTGGAATTACATTTGTAACTTTGTAAAAAAAAAGAAACAGGTTTAATTAAAACTCAAGCAAATCGATTAATGAAAGTCTTCCAAGTAGTCGGAAATGCGGTTCGGATTAATTTGGATGTAACAGAAGTGCGGTTGATTTGTTTTGAGGTAGTCAATTTCCTACTCTATGTGTTGTGAACATTGATTGTTATCGGTGGAGCGAAATTTCCTGGTGGTGTTGCTCGTACACAATCACTGGAAAATAAATTTTTTCTCTTCCTTTTTAATCGGTTCAAGATTTTCTGCAAAATGGAAACTAGCTTGGATTTAATGGTCGTTTTTCTAAAAGAAAAATTCAGCAAATAGCTGACCAGTTAATAAAGCCATGACGCATCATTTCGACGTCATCCCATCCTGGTCGTTGTTTTTGCGTTAATGATATCTGTAAATAGAAAAGAGCTGGATGTATTATCAGTATGTATGCAATATAAAAGTGTATATAGAATATGCTATTATTGATTTTTGTGAGGTAATAGAGAATGTAAATGGGTAGATAAACGCGAATATTCACGAATATTCTGGACTAAATTTTTTGTCTCTCTTCAGTGAAAATTACCAATTGGAATTTCCATTTGGATTTTTTTTAAATTTCCAACTATTTTTTCAAGCATCAATAATGCCTTTTTGTTCTTTTTTCCTTTACAATTGAAAGTATTACCAATGTTGGCGTTAAGTGATAACGGTAAAGAATTACCGACCTTATTGTAAGCATTATCTTGTCCAGCATTGCTTCGAGATTTGGGAAGTGTTATTGTCGGGAATTCATTCGATTTCTGAATTATATTATTATACATGTTTATTAGTCATTGGGATACTGTTTGAATCTTTTGAATGACCTTTGGACATGATATTCTGGAAATTTCCTACAAACCTTACTGGCTCCAATCTCGTGCTATATTCCGATATTGAATTGTTGGGAACAACAACGGATTCTTCTTGCGTCTTTTCATTTTTATCGGTTTTTTCATCCGTAAGAGTAGCGGTTGATTGAACAATCGATTCTGATGACCGAGGTTTCGAACGGAATCGTTCCTGAGCACGCAACAACTTGATTACGTTTAGGGTATTGAAGAAACTTTGATTTGTGTCACCACTCTAGATTGACATCACCACTCTAGATTGACATGGCTAACTTATCATTGTTACTATTGTACATCACGATTAACCTGTGGCAATTTTTCCCAAAAATTACATTCCGGTAAGTGATTATCAACTGATAGGTGATGGTGATAAGTATCAGTACCACATTATCGCAACAAAATACCGCAGAAAAATCGGCAACTTCATTAAGACCAACAGTTCTATTTCAGCAATTCTAATTTAATCGATGTTAAGAAGTAAAATAAGAATAATATTGTAACCGGGAATTCAACCCGCGGATGCTTGATTATGTTAGTAGAATATTTGTGAAAAGAAAAGGGAACATATTAGTGGGATCTAAACATCTGTTATTTTTTACGGATAAGTTTGACATCCATCAAAATATTAAACTACTATCCTAATTAGCAGTAGATTTAAAGTACGATTTCAGCAACTAAAATTTTCCTCATTTTCGGATACGGTCATACTGCTATTACTGGATACTTCTAATTTGGAATGTTCATGTTGTTATCACTGATAATTTCTTGCTGACAGGAATGCAGTACAAATGGGGAAAAAATGACAACGAGGTTGATAATTTCTGATAAAAAAATTATTTAAAATGAGCAGTCTGAATAATAGGAAATCTATCATTTTATAAAAATGATATGCTAAATTGGAAGAAATGGATAACATTACTGGTCTATCCATAAAAGTTAACGGTCATGTTTAGTCTTTTATAAAACGATCATATCTAACAACTAATTGATAATTTTCTCGATCATTAATTAGTCGCTAAGTTATTTTCTCGAAAAGTTATCGAATAAATATGACTGCGTATCAATTATATTTATTCAATAAATAAATTTTCAAATTTTCTATCTAGTAAGACAAAAATATATCTGTTACAATTAATTGTAATTAGATCCATTTCAGATATCAGAAGGAGAGACAGAGAAAGATAAAAAGGAAGAAAAGGAAGTGTAGGTTATTTTTTAACCTGATAATTAAGAATATTCCGGTTGAACATTATGGTAGCAATGATACCCACTAATGCAAGTGCTACAACGTATACAATTCGAATTATTTTATGGAAGGTTGGTACTTCTTCAAGATTATTTTCTTCAACAATAAAAATAGTCTTCTGAAATATGTGTCATCAATATTAATTAATGTGTCACTAATATTAATTAATATGTGTGTTTAATTTTAAATTATTTAAAATATTAGAAGCCTTTTTTTCACTAATTTATTAAGCATTAAAATAATGTATGAAATTAAATATACCTTAATAGTACTTAAGGCATGATTATTCTTTAACTGCGCCATTAATACTACATTAAGATTAAATAATAGAGCATAAATTTCCCGGGACATACCGACCGCTTTAAACAATCTGAATGAAATGCTTATTAACTAATAATAATTTTATGCAGTTTTTTATTGGAATATTTTTCTTTTAATGGAATATATTTAAAAGTATTCAATAAATGACACGCATGCTTCAATTTCTTCTAATCATTTAAGATTATTATTTATTTACGAAATTTCATATGTTTGATTACTTAAGTGAATAAGTTCCATTTCTGATTAATCTTTTCTTCTTTCTTTCGTACAATAATATTTTATTGATTCGTTTGATTCATTTATTCATTCATTAAATCTTTTTTTTTATATTAGAAGAGTGGAATGAAAGTGAGAAAATATTATTAATATTGCAAATTCATCAGTGGAAATTTAAAAAAAAGCAGGAAAATTGGATTGGATCTGTGTGTATGTGTATGTGTGTATGTATGTGTGTGTGTGTCTGTATGTATGTATGTGCGTGCATGTGTGTGTCTATTTGTGTGTCCATATGGGTGTTGGAAGAGTCAATTTTGACTTGCTCAATGATTGTAAAATTGGTTTGCAGTGAATATATAATAACATTTTAACCAGAAATTAAAAAATAATTCTCACAATCGAATTATATTGCTGTTGGAAAGACTGAAAGGTTGATTGCATCCGAAGAAGATACCAAACATATGTCAGTAAGGATAAAATAGAATGTTCGGTTGTTCGGCTTTATATAAAGGAAATTTGTTTACCATAATGTAAGAGGTCAAACCGATTGACCCCAAAGATGACCTTTACAACATTTAAAAAAAAGTGTATATGATTATTAAAGTAATAAGTAGCAGTATCTATACAAAGAGCGACATATAAGATCAAAGAAAGTATAATATTGTTCCAGTACAATACAGTAGCATACTTGACCTTTACAATATTAGGGCAAAGTGTGAACAACAGCATAGTTGACCTTTATAATATTGGGACAAAGCGTAAACAACAGCATACTCGACCTATACAAAATTCAAAACTTTATACATTAAAAGAATAAAAAATTTCTTGGTTTTTCAACGATGTGTTACTATGTATGTATGTATATATATATATATATATAATACTTTTGAACTTTGAAACTTTGAATATATGTGTGTACATGTGTGTGCATGTGTATGTATGTGTGTGTGCATGTGTGTATGTGCATGTGTGTGTATGTGTGCATATGTGTGTGTGTATGTGTATATGTACGTATGTCTGTATTTGTGTTCTTGTATGTGTATGCGTGTATGTGTGAAGAGAGAAAAAAGTTGATTGAAGAAGGGAATTAAATTATGAGATTAAAATGAGGTCATTTAATTAAAGAATGCCTTTAGCGAAATACACAAGCTTTCGATTATGAATGATGTTGCGGTCATTCATTTAACAATCCTAACTTGATAATGTCGCTTGATATTTATTGGATCATGGGATCTTCCTCTCCCTCCCTCTCTCTCTCTCCCTGTCTCTCTTCTTATCATGATATCATGATAATAATTTTTCTATCAATATGAATGATTCATTTGATTGACGAAATTAATAAAATCTAATAGACCTCGATGTTTTCATCCGATAATTTAAAATTTATCGATGGTTTTTAAATTTAGCATAAATATTAAATCTATCTTATTCATAAATTGATCAAATATTTGCAAGAATTTATTCATCAATTTATCAACGATCAAGATTGTCACTTCTAATCAGTGCTAGAGTAAAACGCCTAATGAAAATTTAATTGATTGACTTCAACTAAAACACATTCCTATCACCATTGATAATTGATAATTAATCATATGAAAATGATTGTATGTTGTAGAGTTGTCTTTCTTTCTGTGTTCGGCGATGAGATAAAGTGAATTTGGGTAATTAATTTTGGTGGAACAAAAAAAAACGAAAAAAGAAAGAAATTAAGTCAGTTAAATGGCTGAAATTATGGAATTATGAAGCATTTGCTTGCAAATAGCAAAGTTTTTCTTTTTTCAGTTTAGAATAAAGTTATTTGCAGGAAAACTTAAAAACAATTCTATAAATGTAGAAGAGATTGATGAAATTATGGAACTTTCTGAGAGATAGAAAAGAAAACGGTTTAATTAGGAAGGAAAGTTTTCCGGATAAATGTAGAAGTATTAGAAGTGGAATGGCCTTTTTTCTTTTTTCTTTTTAGACACTATTACTTAACGATTTTACTGTTTCAGTGAATTTTGGTGAAGAAAAATAAATAAATAAATAAAAGGAAGAAATGAGGGAATCTGTGCATTGAGATCTGGTGAATATAATAAGTTAAAATTTTCAAATGAAACTTTTACGTCATATCTTCCGTCCATTACTTGGTATCTTCTTTGGTATAGTACTTCTGTTAACATCATTTGTTGGTGATTCAGTGATTATGCTTATCATACCAATTCTTTTCCTCAATCGTCATCATCAATGGCGTTTATTAATTGATCGTGCTATCAGTTTCTGGATTATTATTCCTATTGTAAGTTTTTCATTTCTTTTTTCCTTTCATAATTTTTTACACTTTTAAATATCTAAAAAGGAATTTATTACTAAATTTACAATGAAATTAGCATTCATTTTTCTGTCAAATTTTTCATTCAAAACGATAAATAAATTTAAAAAAAAAAAGAAATCAACATTGATAAGTACTGATAAAATGACATTGATTGATGAAGCGAAGTAATATTAATAAGTTCAATTTAATCATTAAGATAAGGTATTTTTTCATACATTAGCTTAAGTTATAATTTCATGAAATTGTTAACGTAATTTTCTTCCAAGTAATTAGTGATCTTTTACAATATTTAGCATCGTATCGATTATTATCATTTCCTCTTTTTTTTTCTTTCTTTGATTTGTTTGGATTGTATAATTTTAATAATTGACAATTAATTAAAAAGCTTTTACAAAGTTTCATAGGAAATGTTGTTCGTTTTATTTTAGACTTTTTTGGAATACATATTTGGTATGAAATTCACGGTAACAGGTGATACAATTGATTATAATTCTCCAGCAGTGATAATAATGAATCATCGGACGAGACTTGATTGGATGTATTTTTGGGCGGCATTATTTAAGATGAATCCATGGCTGTTGATTAGCTCAAAAATTGCTTTAAAAGCTGAACTTCGCCATATTCCAGGAGCAGGTTTCCTTCACATAAAATCATTTCAAATATTTAATCTAAAATTTTGTAAGATTTCTTTTTTTACTTAAAGAATTTCACTGATAATAATACTTTATTTAATAGACATGGTTTGAAATTAAATTATTTTAAATTGGTTGAAAAATGAAATAATGTTTGACTGTTCAATTTATTGAAGGTTTTGGAATGGAAGCAAATCAATTCATTTTTTTGGATCGTAAAATAAAAACGGATAAGGAACGGATCTCGGAAGCAATTCACTATTATGCATCTGTTGGAAGAAATTATCAGGTTTATCCTCGTCTATCATTTTTATTCTTTATAATGCATATTTATAATTCATCATCCATCAATATCAATATAGCAATTGTAAATATTTAATGTTCAAATTACGGATAGGAACAATTAAATGGTTTAGATGATTCATATCGGACGAAAGAATTGAAAAAAAAATAAAAAAAAACCAATTTCATTGATGTATGATACCTATGTAATTACATCTAAAAAATTAACGAAAAAAATAAATCGTCATAAATTTGCAGTAAATTTATCTATATCCATGATAATTTTTTTCTTCTTTTCTTCTATTATAATATATTATAATTGACATCTAATGTTGTACAATTAATTAGGCATAGTTTTTGTCTTCAAAAATACAATTTTTTAAATGAAGAAAAAATAATTCATCCCAACACTACCAACATTGAGCGCAATATATTTAAGAAGTTGAAAAAGATTTGGTTAAATTTTCAATGTACTGTCAATAAATTTTATGCAATTATTTCAAATTTTTAAAAAAACTTTCGCCACTTTTTCTCATCAATTCCAAACAATTTAGCTAATCATTCATTCCTTTTTTTTTTAAATGTCTTTTTAGATATTATTATTTCCTGAAGGAACAGATAAAACGCCCAGTACAACGATGAAAAGTAATGCGTATGCAAAAAAGAATGGTTTAAAACAATTGAATAATTTGATTTATCCTCATTCAGCTGGATTTATTCATCTTATCAATGAGATGAGACGACGTTTGTTCATCAAATCCATCTTATTGCATTAAATTATCAATGAATTAGTAGGATGATAAAAGTCAGGATTCTGTTCCCTCGATAACATTTATGGTTTAGACAATTACATCGAATGCATTTATGATGTAACTATTGCTTATCCGGTAAATATTGTCCAGTCCGAAGTTACCCTTATCTTAACTGGTCGTACACCAAAGAAAGTATTATTTCATATTGAACGAATCGATCTATCATGTTTACCGCTTAAAGATCATGATATTGCTCAATGGATTAATGAGTACTTAATTATTTTTATTTCGTTCTATTTAAAAATTTTCAAATTGAATATATCGGTGGAATGAAAAATTATTAGATATGTGATATATCATTAAGCATTGTTAAACAGATCAAAAAATAAATAAATAACTGTAGGAAAGTAGCGATATCATAAATTAGATGTATTCAAAGAGATGAGAGGAATGACAACTTTCAAGACATAGATAAAATTGAAATTAAACTTAGAAGAAGAGTGAAGAAAATTTGTACAATTCTCTAGAATTCTTTTAAATCGCAATTTCTTCTCAAAATGTTGCAACTTTTAGATTATGGATTGCGAAGGATGAGAAATTAGATTTGTTTTATTCACAGCAACCACCACGCATACATTTCCCAAATGACAAGAATAAATTTATATGGGAGGTAGGTGACCAAGAAATTTAGGACTGGAGGATGAAAGATATAATGGGGATAGTGGGGAAGACCTGAAGATTTATTAATGAATGATTTTCAGGAAGATAATCCACTTCAGAAAACAGTCAAGTTATTTACGCTCTGTTTCTGGTTATCAATGACTACTTGTTGGTTCTATCATCTGACATTTTTACGATTCGTTCAGGTAATATGTTGAATTCCTTCCCTCACCTAACTACCAATTATCTGCATGTAATCGAATAATTCAATTGTAATTGTGCTTCATTCATATAGGTTATTGAGACTAAATAAGACCTGAACATGATCGATTAATTAAGGTGCTTTTTGGATATTTCATTCTTGCATATGCTTATATATATGGTAAATATGGTGGTATTCAACGAATGGCATATATCAAATGGTGCCATGCCATGGAGGCGAAAACAGTTCATTGGTGACATTTTACTTGTTAATTTTACTTTTACTAATTCCAAAGACTAATCCAACTACATTTGTCTGTTATGCAATTCTGGAATATTAGGGAAAAATAGTGTTAACAAATTTTCCATTTTATTAATCATAAGAGCGTAGAGTAGTTTCAGGATCTCTGATACCTACGCGATTTTTCAAGATTTTGTATATTTCCCTTCCTAAAAAAGCGGGATTACGATTTGTTTTAGGCTTTATTAACATAGCATTAAAACGGTAAAAACTTGAGAACATAAATTTAAAATGGAAGAATACTAATTGAGTAAACCTGAAGCGTGCTAAAAGAAGTGTCTAAAATTTACGTTTATGATTGTTTCAAGATCATCGAAAATTTCTCTCATGTCCTTTTTCCAGAAAAACAAACATGATATAAGACTGCAAAGACAAGGAAACTACAGAAAAGAATATGCAACACAACTCCATCATCTGAATTAATATCAAATAAATTGAATTCTTCAGTTTATATTAATAATCAAACCGTTAATTTAAACAAAAAATTATTGTTCCATTTTGTCCATAGCTTCTTCTTCACTTCCTTCCGTTTCACCAGCTCGTTGTTCACGTGTTTTTGAAGTATTCAAACGCCAAATCTGAAGTTCTTCAAGAAATTTTCAACGATATAAGTGTAATTAGAACACAAGCCTCTGTTAAACGTCCATCATAAGTAAAACTGAATGAGCACTGGCAAACGAGCCAACCTGTATATAAGATTCGGCTAGCGTAATCATCTGCGGTAGTATTTCTTTCACATGCAAGTCTTCCAGTTCATACCATTTCTGAGTACCCTGAAAATAACACATATGACTGATGATAATTTGATATAGTGCACTCTTTTCGATTGAGATATAGAAGAACATCCTATGAACTGTAAATTGAATATATGTGATAAACAGAAACGAACATTGTGAAGAATTTGGATACGATAGGAGCCAGATGATGGCGGACCATCATGAACAATATTTGAAACGAGATCATAGGTTGTATATTTATGCAGAGGACGCATCTCCTCCGCCAAACAATCATACAAGTCAACATTGCTGAAACAACATTCCTGATTGACCCACTCGGTTTATAAGAAACTCCTAGATGCCCATCGTCTAAATCAGTGAGTTATTAAATAATGAGCCACTGAATTATAAGTTAATTACACTATTTCCAAGTATAATGCAAAATTCTTTATTCATTACCTTATAGGAAAATTGACAATTGTAGGATTTTTCTCGACAAACCACTGATTTTTATGGAATCTTTTATAGGTTATAATTAAATAAGGTGGCAAACGGACCAGTTGAAAACGTTTCATGAAATTCTCACTATATGTTTTATATTCCTGGAAAAGAACATATGCCGAAATGATCAAATATAGAAATTTCAGCACATGCAGAAATAAGTTATTACATCCAGTTATAGGTAATCTGGGGGAAAAAAAAACTTGACGGAAGAAAAGGAAAGTAACCTTCTCAGTAGCACCGTTAAATTTAGTTAAGAGCACAGAAAGTGGAACTTGTGGTATAATATTCTGCAACAATTCGTCACGATATAGTGGGGCGGCTGGCAAATCCAATGTAAGATAAAGGAATGGAATTTCGAGTTTCTTCTCTGGAAATAAGAAAATTCGGCAGTAAATTTCCAACTTGTGTAAGAAATCACCATCAAATGGATGATGAAATATTAAACAGAATCTGGAATCTGTAGAATAGCACCTTTATATTCATCAGTTTCCAACAAATTTTTTCGTGCTTCCTCGGTTGTTTCCACAGGTATTACTTTCCGTGTAAATTCATGCAGTCGACCCCGAAATATCTTGTAGATAATGGATGACGATGTTTTGCGGGTCCCGTTCAATGCTATATGAAGGGTATTTAACAAGAAATTCAAGAACTCAGCCGCATCACCTGTAATTTATTATCGGTCAGGAGAGATGATTTAACTGTTTTTACTTTGAAAAATTTTTGTTTTCTGAAGCTACTTAAATCATACATAATCATTTACCAAATAATGAAGCAAACCTTGTTTGGTAATTTGAAATTTTTTGCTGCTGCATAATACGCTGGCTTGCAGCATTTCATGAGGTGAAACATGTGCTTTGAATGCTTTCGGGTTCCACAATTTCCTGATTAATTCACCAAAACGCTTCGGCAACAACGTTAGCTTATCACCAGGTGGTCTTTTTATATTTATATAATTTTCTTCACGTAGGAAATAATCACGAAGGGGTGGAACGTGTGAAAGTGCCTAAAGCATTTTTTTTGAACAGTGACAAAATATTTTTCAAATTAGTGAATAAATAGGATAAATATTGCTAAATATTGAACAAACAGTGAATAAATATTGCTTAAAAACGTCCTCCAAATGATTTAATACTAATTAAACCCTTTTTACTACAACGAAGTTGAACATATTACCCAACTTGCAACAGACTGAGATCACAAAATATTAAGACGGTAGAGATATCAGATGCTGAACATGAAGTAAAAATTTCAAAATGAAGACTCACATGCAGCACCACATTTTCATAATCATTGGCTTTGATATTGTTCAGACCTACAACACCTGGATGATAAGTTGTTCCATCAAAAGCACGAGCCATCTTTCCCATCTTATCGATCTCCATGATATATTTTGTCGTATAGGTTGGTTTCAATACATACTAAAGAAACCCATTTGCTAGTTCTTTTTTAGAAAGAGTTCAAACACATCTTTTACTATTTCACAAAATACTGACAATCTTCCCATAATTTATTATAACAACAACCTTGATATCGTCCAGCGATGGATCAATGATTTCATAGTTATCTGGCAAACAGTAAAATTTCAAAGTGCTCAAGTTTAGGAAAACTCGATGGTTTGTATCCAGTGAATGGGTGTACGCATGGGTGCTGGTGCCTCGACCCTGAAAATCAGCTGAACATTGTAAAATTAGCTATCGATAAGAATTTTTCCGATGATGCCACCGCCTGCAAAAGTCATCAAACGAAAACAAATCTCCTTTTAAAATTCACCTGGAAATATTTCCCGCAAACCATACAAGCATAAACATTGATGTGTGATAATGAAACAGAACACAGCTTTTCGAAATCAAAATCTAATGCGCACCTGCAAAAAAAATTTTAAAAAGCTAAAAAAGAAACAAAAACTTCTGCTACAAAACCAAAGAACTGTAACACAAAAGAGGATTAATTCGAAAAGCAAACCTATCAATGGTGTCTAAATATGGGCACTGTCGGCTTGGCTTTTCAATTTGAGCTTTTTTCAATGACCAAACCGCATCATTATCCGCATCAAGCAGCTCCGGGTGCTCCTGTTCTTCTTTCAGCAGCCTAGCAATTTCCAATTCTCTTGCTGTTGGCTCTTTTTTGACAATGTCTGTGTCATTCCGTTCGAAATTTGTATCATTCGCTTCAATCCCCAATCCTTCTCTTGAAAATGACCCTGGAATTCCTCGAGTGAAATATATACATGTACATATTAAATTGATTTTTATTTAAGGAAAAAAAGAACTGAATTCAAAAATGAAAAAAACAAAGACTTCATGGCACTTTAAAAAACGATGATAAAAGTATACCATCGAGAACTCCACTCGTATCATTTTTCTCTTTTTCCAAGGGAGAACGACGACGTTTCTCGCTTTTCGAATGCTAGAAATAGTAATCACAATTTACGCCAAAAACGGGAACATCTATTTCAATTCTCCTCTTTAATGTAATTATTAAAGTAATAATTTCGATCAGCCGGAATATCATTTAGTACAGGTCTAGAGAAGACAATCAGGACTACTGGCTTGTGGTCGCCAAAAGTTTAAGGCACTAGCTGCATTTCAGAGCCATCCATGATTACACTGGCAGTAGTTATCTATCCAATATGTAATATATAATATAATAAGGTATCTATCCAATATGTAATACATAATAAATAATATAATAATGTAAAATGCCTTTTTTGATGACTTAACATCTTTATGACTTGAATGCTTGCGTTTTGATCGCATTCTCGAATCATCACGACTGGTGTCACTGCCAGAATCTGTTGATCGTGACCGTTTGCGCTTTCTATCCCTAACATTACTACTAGGTTCGTCCTTTCGACTTTTTCTTGAAGACTCGTTTGACAATTTATCTGGAAATATCAGCCGACCGATGTCTAACGTTGTGTGAAATGTTTCTTTTCGACAATATATAGCTTAAATTTTGATAAATTACGAAAGCAAATATAAAACTAAGAATGAAAAAAGCCTAAAAATCACCAGCTTTAGTTGTTGTTTCACGCTTCTCATTGCCATTTTCATTTTCCACCAATTCGCCTTCTTCATTACTCGTAGACACACCCTGAAGAGAATCAAAACAAGATATTCTCCTTCGCCTCAACAAGTAAAGCTTAATTTGATTAGTATTAGCAATATATAATCCTTACAGGCATCATTTCTTTTGTAATTCCATCATTTTGTCCACCATTCCGCTGATTTTCATTGCGTTCACTCTGAAAACCACGATAAACTTAATGTTGAAAAATAAAATGTTTCCCTTTCTTTCTGAGAAATATAGATAAAATATTTCCTAAGCTTTGTTATTTCTGCAATCGAAGTCGACACAAATATGTTGCAAATTGTTTGAAATCCCGCTATTGCAAATTTCATCAATTTTAAAATCATAGACAAGTATTTGGGAAAATCAAGGATGTGCTCTCAATGCTGCTTGTTACTTACAGAAAAATATACTCAGCAGAAGGTTCGCAACAACAATAATGTCGGAATCAATCACAAAAAAACGCCTCAAACAATGACAAAAATAACAAACAGTAAACGGATAGTGATAACACCGGTAACCTTAGAAAAGTAGAGAAGACAAATAACGCATATAATGCATACTAATGCACGCACTAAATAACCAAATACAAAGTAAGTGAATCAAAATAGAAGACGAATTAGTAACTAAATAATAAATAACTAATCAATAACCGATGAAATATTTAATGAATAAATATTTAAACAAAAGAAATGCAAACCTTATTTTCGTTACTTTCTTCTGCTCGTTTCCTATTTCTTGTTGTAACCATAGCAATAAAATATTCTGCAAATTATTACTTATGCATATACTAAAGACCATAAAAGTTATCCATCTACGTTGAGATTGGAATACAATTGTAGTTCAAGTTAAAACCAATAAAAACCAAATCCATACCAGTCCAATCCCAGATATCCCGCCCCTTACTTCCCTTCCCTTTTATATCGACTAATACCAAGTAAATTTCCCGTAAATTCCCCGAGAGAATGAGCACTAGTAAATTTCCCGAGAGAATGAGTACCACAAACCAAACGAAAACTCGCTCACAGACCACTGTGAAATTACTTGGTTCAAGGCGGTTAATGAAATTGTATTCCTTAGCTGACAACTGATGTTGCTTATCAATATCTTTTAGCTGACAATTGATATCAGTTGGACTTCTGTACAATTCTTGAGTAATAATAATAATAGTGATAACAATAGTATCAAGAATACTTTTAAAACTTGAAGAGAGGCATATTGAAAATAACTCTAAATGATGGCTGCAAATATCGAAAAAAATTCAAACTAAATCATTGAATTATAATTTGCAATTAATAATTTATCACTCAAAATGACTTTTAAATTCCATACTGTATCATAGGATTCTTGCCTATTTAAGTAAATCATTGCCATTCCTTTTTAACTATTAAAGCAATAAAAAATTTCAATTATTCGTCAATTCACTCATACAAACTTTCTCAATAATTTTATTTATCAAATAGTTTTATCACTCATTAATCATACCATACAATAATCTTATCATTTCATTGTTGCTTATTTTCATTTCTAGTCTCCTCCCTCATAAAATGAAATGTTTTTGTTTTAATCAAATTTCAGAATTTACTATTTCAATGTTACTTCTTTGATATGATTCATTTACTCATTATTCTTTTTGATAACCGTTATATCGAAGTATTTCAGTAACTCATTCGTTCCGTTTTTTATTACATTTAACATCATTCGGCAATTCATGTCCATTTTCCACTACGTTCAAACTTTTCAGCGATAAACTTATTTCGCTATACTTTAATTCATTGTAATGTTAATATTATTTCTCAATGAAAATATCTTTTATTCGATTAACATAAGGTTTAGTGGTTAGAAAACAGAGCTGGTAATTAATTGGTTCGTTTGTTTTTTTTTTTTAATTAATTGTGAACAAAGTTGATAATTAATTTGATTCATTACAGTATACAAATTGTATTACAGAGAAGAAATGGAATAAAAATCAGAATCTTTAAGATCATTAGATTATCACTTAAATAGTGAATGATAATGCATTCTGAAATTGAGGTATGAATGTAAAAAGACATTCCATAATACTTCCTCTTCATGATACATTAATTAATCTTAGAAATTTTTACTTTTGTTCAGATGCTAATCATATTGTAATGATAAAGATCTTTATTGCAGATGTGGACAGTTAGACCATTCAATTTTACTAATTAGACTAGATTTGGCCCTAATTCTATTGATTCAATCCACAATTATAGGTAGAGCTATAGATGACAATATTTACTACCATTTCTATGAATGAATATTGAATGGTGTAAGAAGTGATTACCTAAAGCAATTGTATACTTGGACTTTTTTCGCTATTCATTTTTCACTGGGCTTCAGGAAGATAAGGTCGAGCAGCAAGCATGAACATTTCATTCGGTAACTACAAATAGTCCGGTTTCAATTCATATTCCTGTTTCTGAATTGTTTTCGGAAAAGTTGAGCTTTTACATGAAGATGTTACTTGAAGAGAATGTAGATGTTGACGTAGGACTCACACCACGTAAATAATTGATAAAATGTTGACGAGTTTCAGGTTGCATATGCTCGAAATGGACACAACTAAAGAGTCGGATAGCTTTGGCGAAAGTAGTGGAATGAACATCACGCGTATAGCTATCATAAAATTGATAAGTTTGCTCGTGAAATTGTATCCAACGCATTACCACTTGAAAACGTTGACAAGCAGCATCTTCATATTCTCGTTGATTATGACGTATACGTTGAGCATCACGTGTAAGCAAACAGTACAATTCATTACTTGTCATTAGCTAAAATTTTTTCAATCTTTTATCCTACATTTGAAATTCTAAAGAGTAAAATTTGTAAATGTCTAGATTGAAGGCTTGTGATCCATTAGTTTCAAATTGTCACATCATCATTATCATTGTCATTATACATCATGGCCATTTGAAACTTCCTAATTATTAAAAAAGAAAAAATATACAAAGGATTGAAAGGGTGAACAACAGCCAAAAAAAGATATAGAACTTTAAAAATTTCATTTCTTTTTAAGAACTTTCAAATTTTTATGGTTTTTTAAAAATTCGTCAAGTTTTTCTTTTGAAACAGGACAATTTTAAAATAGTCAAATTCTGTGCTAAAAGTATTTCATTGAAATTTTCAGAATATCGATGTTTGTTTTTATTAGTGAGATCCTTGATTACTTCTAATTTCGTTGATCTTTTTTGACTCGTAATGATCATTCCCAATTAATTTTTGCATAATTTTGCATGAATCATGAAAATAAGAAATATATTTGAAATGATCTGAATACTAGAAAAGACAAATTATCAGAGTAACCTATGTCCAAAACATACTGCCAATGTGCTCCGTTCATTCTTAATCGCCTCTTCAATGTATGGCAAGATATGATTTGCCATATTTTCACAAACAATTTGTTGAGTATCGTAAGTTACACAACGCATCATTTGTTCATCCTATAAAAAATTTGAAATGATCAGGTATTGATCATTTCTATTGATCAAAGTATTGATGACCACTATAGTCAGTTATGAAAAGTATCAATGTCCCTTAGTTATGATCAAGTATTGATCGTCATTATGGTTATGATCAAATATTAATTGATCATTCCTATGAACAGTCATAAGTGAGCAAATAGATTTTGTAAAGTAAACCATTACATGGAAGATAGCTTTGTATGCATCTAATACAGTTTCCGCTTGCTTTGATCGTTGGCGCAAAAATGATTCCACCAAACGACTTAGTTGTGCAATACGAAAGAACATTGCACACTAAAAGATGAAAGAGATAGCTATCAATTGTATTTGAAATAAATAATTTGTTAATTTAATTTATTTTCAGCAGTAAAATTTGAATTAATACGAGTATAAAATGAAGTAATTCGAACTTTTTTTAAAAGATAAGTGATAATTAGCATAAAATACTGGTGAAAAGATCAATAAGGAATAAGTTGCTGTTTTACATAATTCATGCAAATATTATTCATTTCATCAAGATTTTCCTTTGTATGTATATTTAATTTAAACTTTCATCTCAAATTTATTTGTACAATTTTTTAAGTAATATCTCATATGTTGATAATCTTATCCAGCGAAATAATACAAAATGATAAAATGATAACCTGAATCATATCTTGCATTGCTGCAGAATCAAGCTGAAGTGATCCGGTACGCATAAATTGAATTGTTGCTTTAATTGTATGCCAATGAAATGGTAAGGCTAAATTAAACGTTTTTTTTCCTTTAAATTTAAATTCATCTAAGAACAATTTAATTACAAGCTAATAAATGGTAGTAGCATTAAGTGATATTGTCCACATTGATTCAGAAAGAATCGGAAATGAACATATGCAAGGTGATATATTCGCATTTTAATAGTAATTCAAGAAAAAATGTGAAATATTAAAGATTAATGCTAATTTTAGTATTATTATTCATTTGAAGGTATTTGATTTGTTGAAAATGTTACAACAAATGGAGATTAAAAAAAAAAATTCACTCATTTTTTATTTTCACACATTTTAAATCTCAACTTTTTTGATTTGTTTTTCCAATTTTGGTAATTACATGCAATTTGTTTTTCAATTTTTATTTTTAATAATAGTAGTTTAAATAATATTATGTGAATGTACACTTATTATTTCTATCTTTTCATTTTGTTTCATTCATTCATCATTTTAAATAACTGTTGGAAATGTAATACAATTCCTTTTTTTCTTTTTGTTTACTTCTCTTAGTTACATTTTGTAAACAGATAAAGGATAAGGAAAATGTATATAACTAACCGGTACAATTTAGAATAGGTGATTGTACACCGGTTTTATTGACAAGTTCACGGATGTAAAGAGAATGAGCACAAGCTAATGATGTGCTAATGCATTCCATTCGGTTTGCACCCCTAAAAAATCCCTTCTATCAATGAATGATAATTTCATCATCTATGACAAGTTGTCTAAACTTGTCTTAATCATAGGTACAATTAATGATTATAACTAATGATTAATGATTATAATTAATGAATATACATTATACTAATGATTATGCCTACTTGTGAAATTGTAACGTCCCACCACTCCATTTATTTTGCTGCTGAATCATTGCTGCAGGCTAAATATTCAAAGGAAGTAAAGTATTAATAAAATCAATTTTTGCTGGAATATGCAAATTGTCGAACAATAGAATGGTAAAAATATTTCTGATGAAATTTAGAAAAAAATTTTCAGAGATTTAAAAAATTTCAAAAGATTTTTTTTCCATTTTTTTCATAACGAATTGTTGGAAATTTCAAAAACTTTAAAATTTTCTTTTTTCTTCCTTTTTTTTTGAAAAAAAAAGTGTACAACCTTGGCTAAATGCGCTTGTATTCCATTGGATACAGTATCGTGAGCATATAATGTTATCGGATCATTTGCGCTGTTTGATATGAATCGTAAGCTTCCTCGAAGCGGTATCAATTTTGTCGTTGTTGTCGTTGTTGTTGTTATTTCGTCCTAATAATGAATGAATAGAATAAAACAACAAAAAATAAATAATTGGATACTATAATTAAATTTTTAAATATTTTTGTAACAAAAGTTTGATTTTTTAATTCTATTTAATAAAAGCGTAAATTTAACACAAATTAATGAAATGATACGAAATGGGACAAATATTTATAATTGAAAAATACTTTACCATTGTATTGGTTGTACCGAACATATCTCACGATTCTAATTTGACTGCTCACTAAATGATGGTGTATATACAATGAATTGAAAATTCTAATCAATTATATTTTATGCATAACATTTTACTTTATGAAAAAAAATCCCTTCATTATAGTTAGAAAAAAGAAAGAAATTCCTAATCAGTCATGTCTGGGGTATAGTACTAGAATATCTCGGTCTTCTAAATGGAAAAATAAGAGAATTGGAAAAAAAGTAGGAAAGTCAAAATATTTTACTGAAATTGATTACAAGTGAATTAATTAAGTTTAAAATTTAACAATTTTAACGAACTTTCCAATGGTGGTGCTTAAATTTAGTTAATTGGTTGATTGCTGCTTAAATTAATTAAGCATTGAAAAAATGCTGGGAAATGAAAAATGCCGTAAAATGTTATGTAATTATGAACAGTTTTTGTCAAAATAAAGTTATAGTAAAGATTGAAAGCTAAAGTTACAGTTAAAATTGAATTTAGAATTGTGACTAAAAAGAAAAGGATGTTTTTCCTCAAATAATTCCATTTCCGTAAGTGAATAATAAAACAGAACAAAATTATCTTTATGCTTGGGCACATTTTCCCAAACGTTTTACATGGAACTTTCGAAATTTTTCAAAAACTAATTTTTTTGTCAGTGATAATTGAATGTCTACTTGAAAACTGATCTTTAACCTTTTTATTTTTTCCTTTTAATTCCAATTCTTTTTTTTCCCTTGATAATTTCGTACTCTTCCTTTCGCTTCCTGTTACTGTTTACTTCGACAGTGCCAATTCAATCTTATATCTCTTGACCCATGTCATTGACCTCTAACCTTATTGACCTCTGACCTTTCCTTGACCAATCTTCTATGTTCGTGAACTCTTGTCCTATGCATGCGACCTTAATCAATGGCGTATTGCGGAAAATTGGTTTGAAACTGTTTCATCTTTAAATGTTTGTTGGGAAATCGCACTGAAAATAAGCACGGGTGTGAATTAGGTGTTACGTCAAAAAGAGATATGGAAAAGAAGAGAACGAGACAAAGGAAGGAAAGAAAAAGAGAACATGGGAGGAAGGAACACTATTAGCGACAGTGCTACTGATTAGGTCACTAAAGGGACATTGTGAAAATGACGTTTCAGAGATTACTTCAACTAATTTTTGGTTGGGTTTTATGACTCTATACTTGGGACATTTAGAGCATACGGATATGTGAATGCTTCAATTTCACCTTTTACAAATAAACTGTAATAGGAACTATTCAACAGCCGTAAGCGATGAATTGACTCTATGGCAAGTTCGTAAACAGAATGATACCTTAATAAGGTAATTCAGGAAGGATGGAGTATGAAACGTTGGATGTAATTCATCCGATGTTTTCTCTGTATTTCATATTTGGCTTTTACTAGGACTTATTTAGGTTGTATTTGATTAAGTATAAATCCACAGAAAAGGTCAAGGTCAATATATTTGGCGTCTTAACAATTCATAAAGATTATGTTGACATTGCACCATGCGGTCCAATCCAAACATTCGTATTGCAGCATTTGATTTGTTTCTGCTTACATAAATAAGTATATAGTGTAATACTTGGATATCAAATGGTCACGTTATTCGTTTGTTTATAGATATATGTTTCATTATATTCACTTGCACTGCTGATTTCCTTTGCATAATTTTTCTTGTTTGGATCGGTGAAACTTTTATCATAATGGATATTTTATTGCCGTCCTTTTCTGATTCTTCGTCATCGGATTCTTCTTTTTTGTTGGATTCTTCATCACCATCTACAACTTCTTTTCCTAGTGAACACATGTCACCGGAGAAAATGATTGAGGAGGAAGGCAATTACGACGTATTCCTGTTAGAAGCAATGATTTGCTCAGTTTGTTTTATGGTTAGTGCTATATATATATATATATATATATATATATATATATATATATATATATATATATATATATATATATATATATATATATATATATATATATATATATATATATATATATATATATATATATATATATATATATATATATATATATATA